AAAAAAAAAAAAAAAAAGTATGAAAGATGAGGGTAACAGGCCAAGAGGGGATATATCTAGTGTGTAACACACTGGCCTTTTATGCAGGAATCTTAATCAATGCTGACTGCTGCCATAATAACCTCCACTACCATCGCTACCATCCCCAGGAGAAACTGAAGCCTTCAGAAGACAGAAATACAGCTAAATGAGACCTTCTGACTGATCAGGGTTTACTCTTTAAAATAATCTCTCTTGATTTAAAAAGACGGGGAAAAAAATTATCATTCACCTGTCACTCTGTAAAAGTAGATAAAGAAATAGAAGTCACCGCAGGTATCAAGCAATCTGGTGACACTCTCCCTGCATGGTGTCTGCCACTCTGGTGAGCGAGGAGCTCGCATGGGACTGTGTGACATACTAATATGCAGGAAGAGAATGTATTGTAGTCACCTGGTCAACCGCAACCGGGGCTCAAAACCAATTCAAACAGTTACCAGTTTATCAACAAGATCTGGTCAAAGAGTTCAAGAAAGCCTTATTTCCTACTAGCTTAATGTCTGCTGTTGTGCAGTGGACGGTGATTAACACTCATACTTTCACTAAACTTTCAGAAGTATTGGTACAGAAGTACCCCAGCCCTCAAATACTGGACCCTTTTGGTATAAACTGTCTTAAGCTTTTATAAATTCTCTCAAGACATCTGTAAAAACGTACCTGGGTCAGAAGAGCGGAGAATCATAGATTCTTTCTCTAACAGCCAAGCAGGTAATCCTCCCTAGGATAGGGGTGGAGAGAGGGCAGGGAAAGCCATTACAATGTCTATTTCACGAAAGGAGTTCAGGGAGATAGAAATTAGCAGTGATGGAATTTGGAGAAGACACATATTAGCAGTGATGGAAAAGAAGGGAACTTCCGGGAAAGGGGGTATTTGAGCTGGGCTTTCTCATTTGTAACTTTCAGAGAAGTTAGAAATTGCAATGTGGCAAAATTAAGATCATTGTGCATGAACGCCAAGTTTGAGAAGCTTTTGATATATATTATTCCACTCAATTTCACAACTACCCTATGAGGCAGACAGAATAGACAGCATCAACTGTTTTTTACAGATGAGGAATCATCACAATCATGTGAGTGACCACCAGGAGGAGAGCACCTGTTCCTCCCTACCTGGGCACCTTCCTCACGTAACAGACACCCGGGCCAGGAACAGTCACAGGCTCGATGTTATCTGGAACTAGAGCCTTTAATTCACTTTGCCCCAGAGCTCCTGCCCACTAGCCCATCCCACTCACGCACACAGGGTAGGCAGAGCCCTGTCTAGCCTTCTCACTCACCATGTCCCACTCCGCACAGATGTAGGGCCCAGGCCTTAGGATAACTAGCAGTCCCAGTTCATGTGCCAGCTGAATAAAATATTCCACATCATGGTCCTCAGAAAACTGGTACTTCCCTGGCTGGGGCTCGTGGAAGTTCCAGGGTACATACCTGCCAAGACACACATAGCCCCTTCCTGGACCTTGGCAGAGTCAAGGAGGAGGCATGGGATGAGGGGCCTTCTCAATACTGTTGTTGACACACCCAAGGGGAACGCGAGTAGGGCATGTTAAGAAAAATTATGCAGAACTTGGAAATAAGGCAAAAGGATGACTGCATCTCCTTCCCAAGGTATACTAGAGGATTGCCCAATGGGCCTTTCATCCTCTAGGGCAGGGGTCCTCAAACTTTTTAAACAGGGTCCAGTTCACTATCCCTCAGAGCATTGGAGGGCCAGACTGCGGGCCCTGGACAAGTCAGCTGCTAAGCAGGACAGGCAGCGGCGGCAAAAATACCCAGCAGGCTGGATAAATATCCTAGGCAGCCCACATGTTTGAGAACACCTGCTCTAGGGGAAATACCTTGATTGACTTACTATCTACCATTAATTAGAGGACTCTAAAATTACAGACTTGCAGATTTTAGTTTGATAGTGGTACAAATTATTGTTATACAAAGAGGACAACTCTAAAAGTTAATTCTTCCATTCATTGCCTTTTATGATATCGACCAGCTGTTTTGGTATCTTTCTATTTTTTTTTTTTTTTTAAGGGATTAGGTCTTCCTTTGTCATCCAGAGTGCAGTGGCAGATCACAGTTCTCTGCAACCTTGACCTCCTGGCCTCAAGAATCTTCCCAGTTTGAAATTATAGGTATGAGCCACTGTCCGCCTAGTTTTATCTCTGAAGACAAATTTATTTCAGCATGACTTTCTTGGCTGACTGTAAACCTTCCTTTCTCAAATTCTCCTTTGAACATGTTCACTATGTAGTTGTTTGTAAGATATGTTTTTGGCTTTTTATCATGATGTTTTGTGTAAATGACTGAACTGAGGGCCTCTGTGAAAGATAAGGATAAATAGCTCAAAATTCTATTCTCCTACATGAATTTCTGAACTGTCTGTGCACTGCAGACCCACTTGGGAAGAGGGTTTGATATAAATTTTCACAGCAGCCATGCAAGCTAATCAAACTTGGTGGGGACACTTTAAAAAGAAAATGTATATCAATGGTGGCTCAATTAACTTGAAAATTTATCAAAACAATCTTTACGGCTCAGCGCCTGTAGCACAGTGGTTACAGCGCTGGCCATATGCACTGAGGGTGGCGGGTTGAACCCGGCCCTGGCCTGCTAAACAACAATGACAACTGCAACAAAAAAAATAGCTGGGCGTTGTAGTGGGTACCTGTAGTCCCAGCTACTTGGGAGGTTGAGGCAAGAGAATGGCTTAAGCCCAAGAGTTTGAGGTTGCTGTGAGCTGTGACGCCTCAGTACTCTACCAAGGGTGACATACTGGGACTCATAGTTGTCTCAAAAAACAAACAATCTTTACAAAAACTGTGCATCATGAAAGAAAAAAAGCCAATGCTTTCAACACAGTATAAACTTTAAGAAAGCAACCCCCCCAAAGTACATAAACACTAATTCCTATTATATAACAATTACATATGCAGTGCAAGACTCAGTAAAAAATGAAAAGATCTTGCTAAAGTAATAAAAGGTGTATTTATTTTTTGAAAAAAATTTTAAACAGAAGTAGGAACCCCCTCAACCCCTATGTCCTTCTGATAAATGATGTTGTCAGGAATAGCACAGCAGGAGGGAAAATGACAACAGCACCTTCCAGCTCCCGGGCCACCTACAGCAGGGATACAACCGGATATGTGAGGCCACCCATTCCCATCACCAGCATCTTTTTGAAGACCCCAGCTTGTGTCGTTTTCCATGATCCTATGATTTTTAGTCCCCCAGAACTTAGTGTTAAAACTATAAACTGATAAACTCAGATTTACTCTGTCAGTGGCTCTAGACCCAGAATCTTGAGTAGAATTATCCCTAACTAGCTATCTTGGGAATCTGTCTCTAGATTTTCTCATCTTTATTTTTTTGTCACCTAGGGTAGAGTGGGTAAAGTGCTGTGGCATCATAGCTCACAGCAACCTCAAATTCTTGGGCTCAAACGATCCTCTTGCCTCAGCCTCCAGAGTAGCTGGGACTACAGGCAGCTGTCACAATCTTTCTGCTTTTTAAAGCTGATACATACAGTAGACCCTCCACAGTTGAGGTTCTACTGTAGGCCAGACTTGCAGTGGCTGGTTTGATAGTCCAGAAAGCAAGCACAAACGTCGATACAACAGCCACCTCCCTACACTGACCACTTCTTTAACCAAACTTTCACAGACCAGACACGTACAACATGTACATATCAGGAGAGTAAGCTTAGTTCCTCATGTTACCACCTCCGTATGTTGAACAGTTTGTTATAGTCCCCTGGGTGGTCAACTTACACAGGTTCTACTGTATTTATAACTTCTGTGTGACAAAATTCAAGATTGGAAGCAGCAGTTATCTGAAGAAGGGCCAGTCTAATCCATGACATGCCACTTCCAGAACACCACGCTGGACTAGTTTGCATCTCTGAGCAATGCAGTAGCTGCACTGAGAATCCAGCTGTACCCCCTCCAGCCTAGGTGTCCAGGCCCAGGCTAGAGCCACATGCCCTCCTACTCACGTCTGGATGGCATTCAGCCCAGCCATCTTCATCTTCAGCAGCCGATCCTTCCAGTAGAATCGGGGCAAGCGGGAGTAGTGAATACTTCCTGAGATGTAGCGAAATGGCTGGCCATCCTTGAGGAAACGGTCCCGGCTATAGTCAATCTTGAATGTCTTAAGGGAGGCATTCTACAGAACAAGCATGGCATCACGTGAGAACTTCCACCTTCTGTATTTTACAAGCAGACCCCCTGACAGTGGCAAGTGACTCCCGGGCTGTTTTATCTACATAATGTTCGTGCTTGGTTCCTGGACTATCAAACCCGCCACTGCAAGCCTGGTCTACTATGTGCACTCAGATAACTGAAATCAGCAAAGAAGACCCATGTATGGGATTCGATAGGAATTGGTTTCTAAAGGCCAGCACCAATCTGACAGTCAGTGGCTGAGATTATACCCTTCTGTGCTGTTCACAGGATTTGGTAAGAGAACACGCATGAGCTCACACCCCACACATACCTGGTAGCTGTGACCTGAGCACAGCTGTGGATGTGCCTCAATATCACTGAGATCCCCAAGACCCATTAAGAACATTCTAGTGACCAGGTGTGGTGGCTCATTCCTATAATCCTAATACTCTGGGAGGCCAAGATCATATGACGCCTGGAGTTTTAGACTAGGCTGTGCAAGAGCAAGATGCTGTCTTTACAAAAAAAATTAAAAATTAGCAGGACATGGTGCTATGTTTCAATGGTCCCAGGTTTTCAGGAGGCCAATCCAGGAGGATTGCTTGAGCCCCAGAGTTTGATGCAGTGAGCTATGATGATGCCACTTCATTCTAGCTTGGGCCACAGAGCAAGACCCTGTCTCAAGAAAACAAAAACAAAAAACAAACAAACAAAAAAAGAACAGAAAATTCTAGGTGTAAATTGTAGGGCAAAAGCAACAGATTAAAAGTCTGAAGCCTTGAGGCACCACCCTACATGTTGCTTTGAGTCCCAGAGTGACATGGGCAAGTCCCCTCTCTAACCTCATACCTCCTCAGCCAAGGGTCTAGGGTATGGGACTAAAGGAAACTTAAGACATTATTTTCCAAATTGTGGGCTGAGACTAGATTTGTGAGCAATAAACTCAATTTGGGTGGTAACAGGAATTTTTTTTTTTTTTTTTTTTTTT